AAACCTCTCTTTAAATCTTTAGCCCACTTATTAATCAGGCACTTGTTTCTTTGAGGATTTGTTGTTGAGGGATTTAATTTTTTGAGTTTGAAGTATATTTTAGATATGGGACCCTTGTCTGTTGTATGGGTAGTGAAGATCTTCTCCCAGTCCGTGGGCTTTCTATTGATCTTGCTAGCTAATCAAGAAATGTAATAAGAACAGATACTGAAGGGGATGTGGCCAAAAGGGAACCCTATTGCCTTGTTGATGGGAAATTTGTTCAACAACTTTGGAAAGCAGTATGGAGGTTCCTCAAAAGACTCCACATAGAGCTCCCCTATGACCCAGTAATCCCACTTTTGGGCATTTACCCAAATGATCACAAACAAGAACATACAAAAGCTACTACCACAACTATGTTTATTACAACATTATTCACCATAGCTAAGATATGGAACCAACCCAGATGCCCCTCAGTAGATGAATGGATCAAGATATGCATATATATGTATATATATATTTAAATAAACACACACACACACACACACACACACACACACACACACACACACTCACACACACACATATATATGAATTCTATGCCTACATCAGAAAGAATGACATCAGCCCACTTGTTAGGAAATGGAAAGAATTGGAAAAAATTATATTAAGTGAAGTAAGCCAGGCCCAAAGAAACATAGGTCCCATGGTTTCCCTCATCTCCAATGACTAATAAATGTCTAGGACAAGCAAAAATGGTCAAAAGCTATGTAATATGAATATATAAGATGATGTTGAGTGAAATGAACCCTACGACAGGGTCACAACTGCTTTTTGTCTTTCCTGCTATTGTTTTTAAAGTACTTACAAGACACTATGTAATTTTTTTGTTTCTTTTGTATGTTCTTTCCCCATGGTATAACCGCTGTTTTCACTGTATCTGATTCGGGTGTCCTGTATCTTATATATTCATTTTTCTAATTTGGGGAGAAGGGATATAACAAAATGCTTAAATAAGGACACAAGTTGACCCATTGTAAGAATGAGATGTACAAGACACTATGTTGAAAATAACTTTACAATTTCGGGGACAAGGATGAGTTAGGGAGGTGAGGAAGGAAGAGATGGTAGGGGAAAAACAAAGGAGGAAGTAACAATGCTAGATAGAAAATGTACTCATTACCCTACTGATGTAACTGTAACCCTTCTGTACATTATTTTTACTATATATATATATATATATATATATCTATACACACACACACACATATATAAATACACTCACAGATACACACACACACACACACACACACACAAACACACACACACACACATCTTCAGTTGAACCCAGCACAGGGAGGGGTTGTGAGGTGGTGGGATGTTGGCCCTTGCTGCCCCCTGCTGGTCAGCATCATGAACCTCAAAGTCTAAGGCGGATTATAGTTCATCATCCTTACTCTTTCAAAATACCTTGAATATTTTGCCTTCTACAAGTCATTTAGCACAACAACTTCAGAACTGCTTTCAAAATTCAGAGTATTTGTGAAGAACTTGTCCCATCATTTTCATATATAAAAAACAAGGCCACTCAGAACTTTTGCCTAGTATATCAGTCTTGATTTCTACTGCTCTCCTCAGTATTTAAATCCACCCTCCCACACACCTATTCAACAACTATAGTCACAAGATTCTAAGAAACTGCCCTGTACGTCACAGAAACTCTGCTGTCTTTAGCCCACTTATTAATGGGGCAGTTGTTTCTTTGAGGATTTGTTGCTGGGGGATTTAATTTTTTGAGTTCTAAGTATATTTTAGATATGAGACCCTTGGCTGTTGTATAGTAATTGTTTTTAGATGTGAATGCCATCTACTCCTCAAGAGAAATCCGTGGTCAAATATCTTTAGCCTATGAATTATGCCATGTTTATCCAAAATGATTTTGGAGATATGATTGGGTTAAACATGTTTGTTAAAATAGGATGAATTGCTTGCATTGTCTGAGTGAGGCTGAAGTCATCCCAAGGTTCCTTATAGTGTTGAGTAAGGAATGCCAGAGAAAGGAGATGATGGTGGAAGTCTGGGTCATGATTGATAAGTGTGCACAAAGCTAAGAATGTGACAGCATGTCTGAGCTAAAGGAGGTCAGAAATTGGATTATTTCTTTTAGAGCCAAGAAAAGGAGTATAATACTCCTGAGTCTTTAATTTCTATCTTTCAGAGTCTGTCCAGCTGATTGCACCCCACACAGCCCTGGACTTGTGCACTTCTTCCATCTTCCTGAGAATCTGTGTGCCCTGACTTCTGGGCAAGAAAACTTGCAGTGCCCAACAGAAAGTGAAGAGGCACATACACGTTTCTTAGATCCTTTTGCATTGACAGTTCTTAGAGGAAAACTCAGTAAGAAGCCTCTTTATGTAGTAATTTACCACAGTTTCTGTGACTTGAAGAGGGAAAATGGGAAATTAATAGTTCCAACAAATCCAACACAGGACAGTCACAGCGCCACATTGGAGCTGGACATTTTCTTTGCATATACTATAGGATTGTATTTAGTTACTGAGGAAATGTCAGTAAGGGCTTTGAGGCTAGTTCAACCTCTAATATCAGCACTCAGGAAGATCTCAAGTTCAAGGGCACCCTAAGGTATATAGTGGGTTCCTGTACAAGTAAAGGAGCAAGCAAAACAAACAAAACAAGGCAAAAAGGTCAGTTGGGACTGTTTTGTACCATGGCTCTACAGTATTTGAACTCTAATTTAATTCTGAGCCTTTTGTTTGGCTGTGTTTCTGGCACTGTGTCTAGTTACTGGCTAGATTGACAGCTGTTGGATAAACTTGCAATGAAAACCCTGGAGTACCAGAGAGCAGAGGTGCTGCCATATACAGAGCAGGTATAGTCTATGACTATAGGTTGAAGGAGGTATGTGGGAGGGTGGATTTAAAGGTTTGGAGGAGTACTAGAAATCAAGGTGAATGAGCTAGGCAAAAGCTCTGAGTGGCCTTTAAATATAAAAATGGTAGGAAAAGTTCTTCAAAGACTTTATACTTGAGTTTTTGAATGCAGTTCTGAAGTTACTGTACTAAATGAGTTGTGGAAGACGGAATATTGAAGGCGTTTTTGAAAGAGGAAAGAGGATGAACAATAATCCTCCCTAGACATTGAGGGGGCAGCAAGGGCCAACGTCCCACCTCCCCCACACCCCTTACCTGCGCTGGCATTCAACTGAAGACATCTTATTGCTCAGCTCTCACTTGGCTTTTCAGTTCAGGACTGGCACTCTACCACCTGAGCCATGCCTCCACTTCTACCTTTTTCCCTGGTTGTTTGGAGATAAGAGATTTTTAGATTTGTCTGCCAAGACTGGCTCCAAACTGTTGATTTTCAACTCTCAGCCTCTAGAGCTAACTCTAGAGATACTATGAAAAAATTTCTCTTCATTTAACACATTGATGTTACATTTCAAAATTGAAAAGATGTTTTTCAATCAGCGTCCTGGTTCTGAAACATGACTCATAGTTCAATTCCTGTCCCCTGTCCTTTTGACTTCTAAATAGTGGACTCCCTCCAGGGTCCAGCAGGCTTTCATCTATGTACAATGTTGCCTAAGGATTGCTCTGTGTCTGAGCTCTTTGGACCTCTATTTCTGACTTCTTCTTTGTCCTTAAGAATTTCACATTCACAGCCACTTAAGGAACATTTGCAGTCAGAGATCACAAAATTCTAATGGTTTCCTCTTGAAGTCCTGATTTCTATCTGTTTTCCAAATTTGCTTTCTGTTGGTCTACCCTTTCCCAGAAATATTCTAAATTTTCTGGTTTCCCAGGTTCAAGCAGATGCAGCAGTCATCTTTGATTTTCTCTTCTTCTGGCACCTCACCTCTAATATGCCAGCAAATAAATATATTTGCTTTGTGTTTAAAACATGGAGCGCTCTGGCCTTCTTTCAGCACAGTTATCCAGGGGTTTATAGCCCTGAGTAGGCAGATGTATTTTAACGTGGATATTCTTTTCAAGGGAAATTAAAATGGGACTGTTAATTCATTCAGTAAGATTTTTCAGAGTCCCCAAATTGTTCAATTAGTATACAGTGTCACTGTGATGAATCTTTCTACTCTTTACCTACCCAGTGGTGGTCCTGAAAGATTTTCAGAATTAAGGAACAAATTTTCTTGTTGAAGTTGCTAGATGTCATGAAGGTTGTTTTGAGTTGGGGACTACACTGCTTAACTCTTGCACTAGTAAATTTTTTTTCAATGCAGACGGCAGAGGGCCAAGAGGAGCATAAACCTAAGAGATGTTAGTGAATCTTCATGAAGAATTATCCATGTATTTCTTGGTGACTGTCATCAATTGGTGTGGGATGAATCTTTGAGAAGATTCCTATTCCCTATTCATGGTCGTTATGCTGGTGGATTCTGGAATATTCTGATCACTGAATTGTATTATCTTGAATATAGCTGATGTGTGAATCAGGTGTCACAAGCCACAGGAACCAGCCCTAACAGATGTAAGTATAAAAGAAATTTGTGAGAAAAAATGTATTGGAAAATAAGAATCAAAATGAAACAGTGAATTGAGAGGATGAGTGGAGTGAGATAGGGAGAATTATGAAATGGGTGACATTGATCAAAACGTACCGATAAACTTACATGCTAAGTTTATAAACTCCCTTATACAACTACTGACAGATAATAAAATAAATAAAGAGAAAGAGAAAGAAAAATAAAAGGTAATAGTTATTGTGGTTACTTCACTGTTCTTCTTAGCTTCTGTTAAGATGACTAAACACCAGTTATGAAAACAAAGTCCTATTTTTGTTCATGGTTTTTGAGGTTACAGTTCCTCTTTCACAATTAAGAGGGTGTTGGGAGATTGCAAATAAATGAGGATAAAACATTTAACCCTGAAAATGTTTTATTTTTCAAATATAATAAAGGTATGCTTCCATTTATTCCATGGAAAATTAAACATTTTCCATTGTAACTGACAAGACAGGGGTACCATAGGAAGTGGGGAAAAAGACACTTTCCACTCATCTCATTTGAGTTTTGCCTTGTACAGTTATGTTTGAGGTTAGGATAAATTATATCATTTCCCCAAATGGGATAGCTGTGCATCAACAAATCTTGTTCTTGCAGCATTGTGGACCACAATGGCCATGCTTTCTCCAAGGTCATCTCCATGTGGAGTTGGAGCAGCACTTCCCATCTTGTCGGTGGCTCAGGTCATCATTTCTTTCCATCTGTTATATTCACCTTCATAAAACTTTATTAATATCATTTAAATTCCACAATTATCTTTATACCCTATCTTTGTGACTATAGATGAAAAGAACTTCATCTTTTCTCTTCCTCACATTGTTCAAATTTGTCATATTAAAGGAGAAATTCATCTTATTCTCCTCCTCCACTTCTTCCTCCATGTTTACCTCCTCCTCCTTCTCTCAAAGACTCCATTTTTGAGCAAGTTAAATATACTACACAAATGGAAAGCCATTTTCAAAATATGTGATTTTAAAATAATCTGTTAAGCCATATAATTCACCACTCTATCAAGATTAGAAACAAGGTAATATTAGTACAGTAGTTGAGAATATTTCTAAAAGTCAACAGCTATTCATGATAATTCAAAAGCTACTCATGTCTAAGGAAGACAGAACTAATGGGAAAATTCTTTAGTGGTTTAAAGCATACGTAAAAATCTATGACAAATATTATACTCAGTGGTGAAATATTTCACATTATTTCTTATCAGTGATATTAAATGCTGAAAGGTTACTATCACTTCCTCACTTACAAAATTATACAGGATGTCCTCCTCCAAATGCTATAAAACAAGAAATAAAAAATTAAATTGAGAATTGAAGAAGAAATCTGTACAAATATTTTGAGGACTAAAAAGTAAATTAATTTATTTCTTACAATTTATTTCTGCTTGGATTAACTAGCGTGTCTCCACTTTCCAAATGAACCCCAATTAATGCTCTTGCAGACTCCTCCCATGCTGTGAGTTGTGTCATCTATTGCATCAGGTGAGGCATTAGCATGTTTATACTGCTGCAGAGAGTTAGAGTAGAGAGAATTCTGCCAAGCTACTTTGACCAACATCTTCAAATGACCTTCAGAATCTAGTTGCATCTGAGAAACGCTGTCAACAGTTGGAGGCACAAGGAGGAGCAGCTGGGGCAGCCCAGCCTCTCACTTCTGGTTCCTTGGGAGGTTTATGCTATGACTTGTATCACTGTGGGAGGAAACACATCATACTGCATACAGTAATAAGTGGCAAAATCTTCAGGCTGCAGGCTGCTGATAGTAAGAGAGTAATCTGTCCCAGATCCACTGCCACTGAACCTGGATGGGACACCTGATTCTAAATTGGATGCTCTATATATCAGCCGCTTAGGAGCTTTCCCTGGTTTCTGCTGAAACCAGGCTAACCAACTGCTAATGCCCTGACTGGCCCTGCAATTGATGGTGACTGTGTTTCCTGGAGATGCAGACAGGGAGGATGGAGTCTGGGTCATCTGGATGTCACATTTGGCACCTGGCAGTGGAAACATAAACACAAATATCTATCTTGATAATCATGTTAAAAGAGGAATTTCCTGACGTGCCACAGCCCTGATGCACAAAGCTGAGTTAATCCCAGTACTGCCCTTCCTTACCTGGGAGCCAGAGCAGGAGGAGCCCCAGGATCTGAGCAGGGACCCTCATGTCCATGCTGTGTGCTGACTGGGACTGACTTCCACACAAGGTGTAAACAACCTTTAAGAGCAGTCCACTGTTCTGGGCAGTAGGCTGAGCTATGGGCACATGCAAATCAGCAGGGTGGGAGGGCGGGCTCTGCTGCAGGATTGGCTCCTCTCTCATCACAGGCCTTACCTCCACAGATGTCCCAGACCATTCAAAGAAATATAAATTTGTCTGCAGAGCATATGTTTCTCACTGGTGATCTTTTGACTGTAGAAGACATTTTTAAGATTATTTTCAAAATGTATAATGCCCAGAAGCAACTGGTATAACAGCATATTTCAAAAATATATTGGACCATAGTCTTGTGTCTTTTTAGATCTTTAATTCACTCAATAATTCTTACTGGAAAAAAATCATCTTGTGTTCTTTTTACCAAGTGCTTATACTTTGAAAATTATTATATTTCTTCCTTTGTCTTTCTGTCTTTCTTTCTCTTTCTTTCTTTTCTTTCTTTCTTTCTTTTTCTTTCTTTCTTTCTTTCTTTCTTTCTTTCTTTCTTTCTTTCTTCCTTTCTTTCTTTCTATCTTTCTTTCTTCATTCCTTCTGTCCTTCCTTCCTTCCTTTCCTTTCCTTCCTTCTTTCCTTCCTTCCTTCCTTCTTTCCTTCCCTCCTTCCTTCTCTCCCTTCATCCCTCCCTTCTCTCCCTTCTCTCTCTCTCTTTCTTTCTTTCTTTCTTTTTTCTTTCTTCCTTTTTCATCTCTCCCTCCTGCTTTTATCTATCTCACTCTCACTCTCTTTCTTTTGTTCTTCTTTTCTTTCCTATTTCAGTTCTTTCTTTCTTTGATTTTCATTTAGTTTTTGTACTTGGGGCTTGAACACAGGGTCTGGATTCTGTCTCTTAGCTTTTTCTCTCAAGGTAATCCTCTACCACATGAGCCACATTTCTGTTTCTGGTTTTTTGGTGGTTAATTAGAAAAAAAGAATCTCATGAAATTTCTTGTGCAGGCTGTCTTTGAAGAGCCATTCTAAGACCTCACACTCATGAGTAGTTAGGATGACAGGTATTAGCCATCGACACCTGACTAAAATTAAAATGTTTCATTTCTGTGTGTATGTGTGTAGGAACATGAACTCAAGACCTGAATACTGTCCCTCAAATTTTGTGCTCAAGGCTACCACTCTGCTATACCACTTGAGCCACAGGTCCATTGCTAGATTTTGCATGATTAATTGGAAATACGAATCTCATGGACTTAACTGTCTGGGCTGGCTTCAAATTGTACTCCTTAGATCTCAGCCTACTGAGTAGCTAGAATTACAAGCATGAGGCACAGATGTCAAGCTGTTTAATTTCTTTAAAGGACAATATGAAACATACTGAACCTATTGAAAAGTATTTTGTGGTAATTTTAGTTATGACCATTACCATGTAAGTTGAAGCAAGTTATTTTTAAATTTAATTTTTTTGTCAAGGTGATGTACAGAGGGGTTACAGTTATATATGCAAGGTAGTGAGTGCACTTCTTGTCAAACATTGTCACTCCCTCTCTAGTTTTTCTCCCACTTTCACTCCTCCCCATATCCCCTGTTGTCTTGTGAATATTGCTGTTGTGTTGGTTCACCTTTTGTCCTTTATCTCACCATTTTGTTGCTCCCTGCTCCTTGGCTAATTCAGATAAATGCATATATGATACACGGTACCAAAATCAAACCATAGGGGGAAAAAGAGAAAAATGCCAGAAAAAGAAATAACTTCACATAGTATATTAAGAACCAAAACAACAACAAAGAAAAACCCCTTGTTTCCATATCATGGAGTACATTTCACTTAGGATCATCTTTTTTGTTGTTCTTGTTTTGTCGGCCATGAGGCCTGAACTCTGGGCCTGGGCACTGTCCCTCAGCTCTTCAGCTCAAGGCTACCACTCTAACACTTGAGCCACAGTGCCACTTCCGGCTTTTTCTGCTTATGTGGTGCTGAGGAATCGAACTTCATGCATGCAAGGGAAGCACTCTACCACTGAGCCACCTGCCCAGCCTCACTTAGCATCCTATGTACATAATTATTGAGCTATTGTGATTCTCTTCTAGGACTATCTGAGACATACACTAATTATCACAAGTGGGAGAAACCATGGAGCTAGGTTTCTTTGGGCCTGTTTTACTTCACTTAATATGATTTTTCCCAAGTCTTTTCATTTCCTTATAAATGGGGCAAGGTCATTATTTCTGATGGAAGCACAGAACTCCATTGTGTGTATATATATATATATATATATATATATATATATATATATATATATCACATTTTCTTGATCCATTCATCTACTGAGGGACATCTGGGTTGGTTCCATATCTTAGCTATGGTAAATTGTGCTGTGATAAACATAGTTGTGCTGGTTGCTTTAGTATGGCCTTGTTTGTGCTTGTTTGGGCAAATACCTAAAAGTGTGATTACTGGCTTATTGGGGAGCTCTATGTGGAGTATTTGGAGCAAACTCCATACTGTTTTCCAGAGTGGTTGAACAAGTTTTCACTCCCATCAACAGTGTAGTAATGCTCTCTTTTGGCCACATCCCCTCCAGCATCTGTTGTTTTTAGATTTCTTGATATTGGCCAAATTTCACTCTAGTTCCTCAATAATGGCTCACAAATTTGCTACCACGGAAATTTTATATGTCTTCTATCCCTAGAATCTAAATAGACTGCACATTCTCCTAATCAGAAACCTCTCACATGTTGTCACCTTTGTGCCATTTGATAGTACTACTCACAGTTGGAGATGAATACTGTCTTTTTTTGGGGGGGGGGTATGGTCAGGGGGCCTGAACTCTGGGCCTGGGTGTTTTCCCTCAGCTCTTCAGCTCAAGGCTAGCACTCTACCACTTGAGCCACAGCATCACTTCTGGTTTTTTCCTTTTTGCGATTGTGATGCTGAGGAATTGAACCCATGCACATGGGACTGCATCAAATGTAAATGTTTCTGAATATCAGTAGGCAAATAAGTATGTGTGTGTGTGTGTGTGTGTGTGTGTATGTGTGTGTATGTGTGTGTGTGTGTGTGTGTGTGTGGGTATACGCACATGTATTTGTGCCAGTACTAGGGTGTGAACTCAGGGTCTGGATGCTGTCTCTGATCTTCATTTTTGCTCAAGTCTAGCACTCTACCCTTTTAGCCAATCGCCACTTCTGAGTTTTTAGTAATTATTTGGAAATGAGTGTGTCACAGGCTTTCTTGCCCAGCTTGCTTCAAACCTTCATCCTCAGATTTCAACCTCCTGTGTAGCTAGGAATCCAGGATTGAGTCATTGTCAAACATCAGGAAAATAATTTTTTTTGGCAGTCCTGTGGCTTGAACTCATGGTCTGGGCATTGTCCCTGAGTTTCTTTTGCTCAAGGCTAGCATTCTCCCACTTGAGCCACAGTGCCACTTCTGGCTTTTTCTGTGTATGTCATATTGAGGAATCAAACGAATATGAGGCAAGCACTCTACCACTAAACCACATTCCCAGCCCAGGAAAATAATTTTTAAACTAAGTTATATGTTTTCCATTTTTATACATTGTGGTATTTATTAAGAAAGTTCTTTCTGGGGTTTTGATATGACTCAAGTGGTAGACTGATAGCCCTGATAAAAGGAACTCTAGGACAGTACTCAGGCCAAGAGTTCAAGCCTCAGGACCAGCAAATTAAACAAACAAGCAAGCAAGCAAACAAATAATCTTTTGCTGAGCACTGGAGCCTCACACCTGTAATCATAGCTACACAGGAAGCTGAGATCTGAGGATCATGGTTCAAAGCCAGCCAGAGCAGGAAATTCTGTAAGACTCTTATCTTCAGTTCATCACATAAAAGGTTGGAAGTGGTGTTGTGTCTCAAGTGGTAGAGCACTAGCCTCAAGAAAATGGAGCTCAGAGATAGCACCCAGGCACAGAGTTCAAGCCACATGACTGGGGAAAAAATAGAAAATAAAAATAAGAAAGTTCTTTCAATTGCTTATTGCTGCTGTGTAGCATCATGAACAACACAATTCCCAACTTCTAGTAGTTTCCCCAAAAACATAATAAAGTTTTTTTTCCCTATGATCCCAGATCTCCAGACAAAACTTAGAAGCAAATGGAAGTGAATTCTAGGGCCTGCACTTAGGTGGAATATTTCTAAGAGTTTGGGAAAAGAAACAATTCTGGATTGTCAGGTATCTCAATCCATCATTATGATCATTAGGATTGCTTGTGGAACCCATTTTTAGAATCCTTATCCCAGCTCTGGTTTCCTGAAAGTTGCATCACATGGGGTCCTTTCATTATATTTGAAAAACAGGAAAGACCTTGGTATTTATTGACATAAGCAGGCTGACGCCTCAGTTCTGAGGCCTACAGCATCACCTGGAGAGGTTGCTGGGGCAGGTGAGAGCATCAGCAATCAGCAGCCTCGCATAGCTTTTTTTTTTTTTTTTTAACAAGGTAGAGAATCACAGGATTATGCAGACCCTAGGGCAGCTTCATGAAATCAGAGAATCCCATACTCCTAGTTCCAACTTCACTGGTTACCTCAGGAGTTAGGAAGCTAGTGATGAGACTCATTTCCTGTATCAAAACAATTCCTGCTTGGAGAATCATGGCTGGCTTAAGCTTTACTGTGTGAATACCAAAGTATGCCTTCATATCAGAAGATTCATGGCCATGGCCATGTTTCTGGAGCAGAGGAAGAAAAGAGATGGAGATACAGAGGATCATTTGAAGAAAGTTCAATCTAAAGCTTGCAAGAGTGTTCAGAGCCAGGTTGCATGTGAGAAACTGTGGTAGCTGGTTGAGGCACAGGAGGAGCATTTGGGGCAGGTCAGCCTCTCATTTCTGCTTCACTGAAGTTTTATGGTATGGCTCATATCACTGTGAAAGGTCTACTATTACTGCTCATGCTAAGCAAAATGAACTCCAAGATAGGGACAGAAGAGATTTTATCTTCCTTCCTGTTGTTTTTAATGTACTTATAATGTAGTATGTGATTTTTTTTGTTTCTTTTGCATTGTCTTCCCGCATGGTATGACCCCTGTTTTCACTGTATTTGATTCTGGTGCCTGCATCTTGTATATACACTTCTGTAATGCGGGGAGGGGAAAGGAAACAACAAAATGCTGAAATAAGGATACAGGTTAACTCACTGTAACAGTGAGATGTACAAGGCACTATGTTGAAAACTTTACAACTTTGTGTGGGGGAGAGGAGTTGGGAAGGTGTGGAGGAAAGGGATGGTAGGGGAAAAACAAAGGAGGGGTAATAAGGCTTGATAGGAAATGGACTCATTACCTTACTCATATAACTGTAACCCCTCTGTACAGTATCTTTACAATAAAAATATATAAAACAGAAAAGTACTTCACTGATCTCTGATTGAAATCTGGGCCTGGGCACTGTCCCTGCACTCTTCAGATCAAGGAGAACGCTCTACAGCTTGAGCCACAGTGGTCCTTCCGGTTTTCTAGTGGTTTCTTGGAGATGAGAGTCTCATAGACTTTCTTTCTCCGGCTGGCTTTGAACCATAATCCTCAGATCTCTACCTCCAGAGTAGCTAGGATTACAGGTGTGAACCACAAACGCTCGGCAAGGCATTTAAAACAGAGTAAAGCATTTAATCATAGGGAAAAAAATGAACCTCAAAAAGAGTCTGTTTTAGAATGCGCTGAAACTTGCAGGCAGACTCTGGGGCAGAGGGGGAATTGGAGGTCACCTGCTGGCATCTAGAAGCAGATTTGACATCTCCCCTGGGTGTCTAGACAGGACAAGGACCTAGGTGAGGAGACCTGCATCTTCACAGGTAGATGATCTGGGGTCTGAAGGAACATTTCTGTGCTTAGCTTTACTGAATAACATATCCCAGTCTTGGAATGGCAGTAGCTCAGAATAAATTTCATGTATTAAAAATAACCAACTTGGATTAGTTGGCTCCTTTCTACTTTACAAATGAACCCTAATTAATGCTCTCACAGACTCCTCCTATGCCACAGCTTGTAGGCTCTAATGAATCAGGAGAGACATTGACATACATAAACTCTGTCTTCTCCTGACAGAAAGGTTGAGAAGAGAGAATTCTTCCCTGTCACTTCTACCAAAATTTTCAAGCAACCCTAAGAGATGAATCTGAGAAGCACTGTCAGCAGGTAGAGGCTGCAGGAGCAGCTGGAGTAGCCTAGCCTCTCACTTCTGCTTCCTTGGGAGGTTTCTGTTATGACTTGTATCACTGTGGAAGGATAACTATTATACTGCAGACAGTAATAAGTGCTAACATCTTCAGGCTGCAGGCTGCTGATGGTAAGAGAATAATCTGTCCCAGATCCACTGCCACTGAACCTGGATGGGAATGCAGAGTCCAAATTGGATGTGTAATAGATCAGCCGCTTAGGAGGTTTCCCTGGTTTCTGCTGAAACCAAGCTAAATACTTGTTAATGCCCTGACTGGCCCTGCAATTGATGGTGACTGTGTCTCCTGGAGATGCAGACAGGGAGGATGGAGTCTGGGTCATCTGGATGTCACATTTGGCACCTGGCAGTGGAAACATAAACACAAATATCTAGCTTGATAATCATGTAATGAGAAGCCTTCCCTGAAGTGCCACACAGTCCTGATTATCCAACGCTGAGTTATTCCCTAGCATTTTCCTTCCTTACCTGGGAGCCAGAGCAGCAGGAGCCCCAGGAGCTGAGCAGGAGCACTCATTTCCATGCTGTGTGCTGACAGGCACTGACTGCTGCACAGGGTGTGTGCAGTCTATGAAGAAGTGCTCAGGGCAGTGGGCTGTGCTCTTGTCACATGGAAATCAGCAGTGGGTGGGCAGGGCTGGACACAGCTGCACGATTGTCTCAACTTAGTGAGTCACCACAGGCCTGGCTTCCACACCAGACAAGGGTAACATGAATTTGTCTGCAGAGAATATTCTCCCTGGAGGACATTTGACTGTAGAAGACATTTTAAAGTCTATTTTCAGAATATATAATGCACAGAAGCAACTTATAGAGTATTTCATAAATATATTGAAACGTATTCTTGTTTCTAGTTAGATTTTTATGCACTATCAATAATTCTGTCTGGAAAAAAAGTCACTTTCTGGTTCCATACCAAGTACTTATACAGTGAAAATTGCTTTCTTTCTTTTGCTTTTTCTTTGATTCGTTCTTTCTTTCCTCTTTGTGTATTCTCTCCCTTCCTTCCTTCCTTCCTTCCTTCCTTCCTTCCTTCCTTCCTTCCTTCCTTCCTTCCTTCCTTCCTTCCTTCCTTCCTTCCTTCCCTCCTCCTTTCCTTCCTTCCTTCCTGCTTTCCTTCCTTCCTTCTTTTAGGTTTTGCACTCAGTTTTTGAACTCAGTTTCTGGGTGCTGTCCTTTAGCTTTTTCCTTCAAGTTTAATGTTCTATCCCATGAGGCACACTTCCATTTCTGGCTTTTTGGTTATTAATTGGATATAAGAATTTTGTGACTTTCTTATGCAGGCTGTATTTGAGCAACCATTCTCATATCTCATGCTCAAGAGCACATAGGCACCTGAGTAAAATGATTCATCAATCTGTCTGTCTGTCTGCCTGTCTATCTGTCTGTCGGCCTGTCTCTCTGTGTGCTCTTCTTGGGGCACGAACTAAGTGCCTGGGTGCCCTCTCTTAGATTTTTTCTTTCTTTTTTGTCGATCGTGGGGCTTGAACTCTGGGCTTGGGCACTGTCCTTGTGCTCTTCAGCTCAAGGTGAATGCTGTACCGCTTGAGCCAGAGTGCCACTTTCCCTCTCTTAGATTTTTGTACTCAAGGATACCATTCGGCTATACTGCTTCAAGATTTTGGATGATTAATTGGAAGTAAAAGTCTTATGGACTTTCTTGCCTGGGCTGGCTTCAAATTGCAATCCTTGCATCTCAGCCTATGGAGTAGCTAAGAGTATAAATGTGAGGCAAGGTACCTTTCAGTTTAATTTCTTTATGTAACCAGATGATATGAAGCATACTGAATGTATTCAAGAGTTTTGTGGCAGTTTTAGTCATGGCCATTACAATATAAGATGAAGAAATATCTGCATATCCATATTTACTCTGATTTCAAAATAATGACACAAAAATTTACCACCATTGAAACTTGAGGTGTCTTTTATTTCCAGTATCTAAATAGACTGTATGCTTTCTGATTGGAAACCTCTCACGTTTTGTGCCATTTACTATTACTTCTCACAGTTCATCAGGATGAAGTGATAAGTGTTGACGCTGGACATGATTACTTCAACCAAAATTACTGCTACACAGCCGTACATTCCCGGTCTTTTATTTTTTCCAAATAGGTGGAAATATCATGTCTGCCCAGATACTAGTATTGCTGTTTACATCTCTTGGAGACAGAGAGAAAAAGAGAGAGAGAGAGTAGATAGAGAAGGAGAGGGAGAGAGAGAAGGAGAGAGAGAGGAGGAGGCTCTTGATTTGTTCTCAAACCAGTAAAAATATCCCTCAAGAAACATTTTGGATCTGGATAAACCCTGGATGGAAATTTGATCAATCAGATATCGTAGCATGCCTTTTCCTTGGACCTATCCAAGTTTCACAGCAAGAGAAGCCATTTTTGCCTTCCTCATGCCCACCCCACACTTTAAGAATTCTGAGAGTCTTAGTGACACAGAACAATGCATCTTAGTGGGATGAAGAGGACAGATGTCATGGAAACTTTACTGTGGTGAGGTTGGGAGAAGTCAGGCCCAAATGGTGACTATGAAGTAATTTGGCAGAAATCGAGCCAAAAGGTGACTATGAAATCATTTGGCTAATTATTCAGGTCATATCAGCAAGTGTGGAGATGTGAAGACCGAGGTAAACTTTCAGGCACTGGAATTAACTACAGAGATTTGGATCAGGAGTCTTTGTCCAGGACTGACACTCTGGCTGTGGGCTATAAAAGAAGCAGTCACCCTCCAGAGTGATGGAGCTGAGAACCTGGGGTAAAAAAGGCCCTGCCTCGTGGTAGCTTTGGATTCAGTGAAGTAGTATGCTTTTCACTCACTGGAATTGGCCCCAGCTGAAAGGCCAGGTTGAGAGACTAAGTCATCAGGAACTCAGAGTTTTGCCTGCTCTCTGGGGCTGGCTGACTTTATGTTGTTCTCACTAGTCATGAGGAGTCAGCAAATGTCTCTCATCCAAGCAACTTCTTACACACTTGGTCATTCATGTGTAATTTTTATAGCTATGTTATTTCTTCCTCATTGTTAAAGATTCTAAAAACAAGCATCTGTGACAGCACTAAAATTTCAAATTCTTTCCATCTCCTGTTGCTTTCACATACATTCATAATTCACTTCAGTTATCTTGCACTGAATCTCTTAGAAGGTTAAGCCTTCAATGTGTTCTGTCCGACTGAGAATTTACAAGGTCAACTCATGCTGACTGTGTGCACATGGCTTGTGGCACCTCGGAGGGCAGTACGTTTTCTCACACAACCAGTCCACTGTTGAACTGGAGATTTCACTCCATTCTAAGAATTCTAATAAAAAGGAGCATCATTGTGTAGGTGTGCTTATAACAGATTGAATAAAGTAGAAAATATTCAGAAACAAGCAGAGCACCAAGGCAATACGACTAGTGTCTAAGACATATGAGCCCCAGGATAACTGTGCAGCAAGCTTGCCAGTCTTATGTTGCTAAGAAGGAAGCTCACTCCTGCTCTGTATGTCTTTCATGATCTGAATTCTGGGGCTTTGTTGCTTGTGAGGTTGGTTTGCCCTCTTGTGGCAGACTTGTGACATAAAACTCTTCAGGATTGTCAGTTTGGAGTTCCAGGTTCTAGACTGAGAATCTTTTTCTCCAATATTGACAAAGGAGGGCCTACTCCATCTGTTTCAAGACCAGATTCAGTAGGAAAGTCAAATAACTCTTCTTATCAGGCATTTTATAGCAGTTTAAGAAAAAAATCTATTGGTTTCCCATGAATTCTGAGTCTTTAATGTCAACAAGGTAGCTGGTGGCCTAGGATGTATGTTTCCTCTGAGATGCCTAAGATGTGATTTTGGCAAAGAGGAGGATGTGTTGAGTATCAGTGAAGGGTACAATGGTGATCTGAGGGGCTCTGGTTCAAGTCCAGGTCTTACAATCCAGCCTCATTCTCTGTGTCACAGAAACTGTTTTGCCATACCGCTCATTTCCTCATTGTCCTGAAAAAAGGCAATCAATTAGCTGGAGAACTGACTAATGCCAATGTTTTCTTTTTTCCTTTCTTTTTTTTTTCTTGTACATGTACAATTTTATTTTTTAAAGAAATAAGTTATTCTGGCAACATAAAATTGTAACTGACTTGACCGGATGACCTTGAAATGCTCTTCTAGCCCAATAATGCTATAGGAAGATCGTTCTTTTTTTTATTTTTATTTTTTATTGTGAAAATACTGTACACAGCGGTTACAATTACATGGGCAAGATAATGAGTACATTTCTTTTTTTAATTTTAATTTTTTGTGAACATACTGTACAGAGGAGTACAATTACATGGGCAAGATAATGAGTACATTTCTTATCAAGCATTGTAGCCTCCTCCTTTGTCTTCCCTTCCCATCCCTTTCCATCCTACCCTAGGCCTCCCACCCAATCCTCTCTTGTACCCCCCACCAAAGTTGTAAAGTTCGTTTTCAACATAACGACTTGTACTACTCATTGTTGCAATGGGTCCATCTGCATGCCTATTTAAACAACTTGTTTTTCCCCTTCCCTTCCACAAACTATACTGACATCAAACACAGTGAAAGCAGGGGTTATAATGTGGGGGAGGGACATACAAAGCAACAAAGAAATAATCTTATAAATGTGTTAGAAACAATTGCAAGAAGGAAAAAAAAACATTTGAATACATATCTTAGGGTTCATTTCCCTAACATCACCTTATCTGTCCTTTTCTGATTGACTCAGACATATACTAGATATTGCAAATAAGGGAAACCATGGACCTATGTTTCTTTGGGCTTGGCTTACTTCACTTAATATAATTTTTCCCAAGTCTTTTCATTTCCTAACAAATGGGGCAATGTCATTCTTTCTGATGGAGACATAGAATTCCATTGTGTATATATACCATATTTTCTTGATCCATTCATCTACTGAGGGGCATCTGGTTTGGTTCCATATCTTAGCTATAGTAAATAATGCTGCAATAAACATAGTTGTGCTGGTAGCTTTAGTGTGGTCTGGTCTGTAAACATTTGGGTAAATGCCCAAAAGTGGGATTGCTGGGTCATAGGGGAGCTCTATGTGGAGTCTTTTGAGGAACCTCCAAACTACTTTCCAAAGTGGTTGAACAAGTTTACACTCCCACCAACAATGCAGCAAGATTCCTTTCTGTCCACAT